ATTATTTAATGTTTAATGTGTTTTTATAGGCAATAATTTAAGCTTTGTTAGTTCCAGGTTTAATATGTGCAATAAGTTCATTTCAATACGTTTTGCAATAAACATTGAACCAGTCCGGCCCTCGACTAGTACAGATTTTTGAATATTGGCCCACTGTGTATTTGAGTTTGACACCCCTGCTCTACAGGAAAGGGAAAATCCCAAAAAGCATAATAGGGCCTCTTTAAACTAATATTGTTTCTATGAAAGCAAATGGCAGTCTGTTGGTCCACCACTTTGGTCCAAACTAATATCAACAACTATTTGATAGATGAGCTCAAACACCTTCAGTGATCCCTTGACTTTTGTTCTAGTAGTTCTAACATGAGGCTGTCATCTGTGGTTTTATGTGAAATGTCTCAACAGCCAAAAGATTGTGAAGCAATTTTGTACAAAACATTCATTTTTCCCTCAGGGTGAATTGCGAGATATAACTGTCATACGGTCACATTTGAATTTGTAAATACATTCACATCAGCATGTCAAAACACGTGCCCCTAGTTCAAGTCTCAAAGAGCATATCTTTAGTTTTACAATTATTTTAATTGTTTTAATTGCTCTGAACACCACAAACAAATTCCCTATTAGTTTCATTGTATTGTAGCTGGCAGCGGATATTTTAGATATACTGTAGTTATCTGAAAATGTGAGAAAAAACATGAAAAGCTTCCAAAACGAGTTGTAAATAAGAAAATATGTTTGTGTATTTGGTGAACCAACCAAATACAACTCCCCTCAGGAATGATTTACAGTTATCATGTTTTTCTTCAATTCTAATCTACAATTTCAGTGTTTGTTTTACAGCTAACCTATCATTTCACCACCAAGCTAAATGTTTATTCCATCGCAAGGAAAATCCAATCCTGTTGACCTAAATGGCTACAGGTTAAATTCCATGATATGCTATCCGATCTTTGTTTCTGTTCAAAATATCTGCATCATATAATGTTATCACGATTGATCTGAGAAAACACGCTGAGACACTGGAAAACTGTAAACCTGTCATTTGTTATGACTTGTTCAAACCGCCAGCATGCAGTCCTCTGCGGTAACTTGTTGCTTGCAAATGTATTACACAAAAAGGAATTGTTCATGTCTGCAAGGTTGTCATTACGAGGATTACAATAGGTGAGAGCAATGCCACCATGGTGGAGCTGTAACGTAATCATCCTACGCAGAAACGTATGCGGAAAAATGATATCATTTGAATGTGGTTTTTCCTGTCTGACTCGGGATCTTAGCTTGTAAGTTCAAACTGTGGTCAAACGGCTTCGCTCAGGTTTCCTGGGTTCACTCAAGTGTGAGAAGTTGAGGTGTAACCCGTCCTTTGTTAGCATGCATCCTTACTTTGACTTTATAAGTAAGCATTTCTATTAATCTTTGTTATTCAATTGGCATCATGTCTTTGTCATTTGTTTCCCTATACGGGCGCCCTCACTCGTTGCGCCTGGTTCCACAGCTTAATCCAAAACTATGAATATCAAATGGCTCCCAAAGTGTCAGCCCTTATGAACACTCAGTATTAGCTGTGATGCAATCAGCCCACTGATGCATGCAGTATTTGTGTTTGTCCTGGCAGAGTGTTGACTAGATAACGTTAGAGGGGATATTTGCACTGCCAAACACTGACGCCGACTGTCTCAATAAAATGTTTGTCCTCTGAAAATAAACATTGATAACGTGAGAGATGCTAGTGCACACATCATGTTTTTTTTAACGCTGAAAGATTCTCATTGGTCGACGGAGGTAATAAGAAACGTAGCAGTCATCTAAAGAAATAAACCAGAGGCCATGTTATGAAGCCTAGCATTCTTGGAAACACCTCCAAAATGTAGCATTTAGTCACCCCAGCATTCACAGCCAAACTAGCCTTCAGCTACATTGGTAAGCTAGCTAGCCTGCCGACAATCTACTATCATGAAAGTCATTGTCACTCATAGTTAACCACTTAGCTTACTTGTGCTTCCCACCAAAGACACATGTAATCATTGACAAGTTATCTGTCACAGCAGCAGCTTATTTTTAGCACTGCTAAACATTATAAGTGTAACTCCAGACATAGATTTGTGAGCACTTAGCACATTCACATTAGCGTGGAGCTGAAAACGGACCATAGTGACCACCGGTATGAAATCCATTTTTCCCCTTCCTCCCTCTGTCTATTGAACTGTGGTGGCAGGATGTTGTGTCAGCGTTAGTGATTGTGGCCCAGGACAGATGCAGGTGTTTCCCTGCCTGCTGTACCCTCTTCCTGC